TTGCTATTCCAGCTGCCAGCTCCCAGCCTTGGGGTGGGGAGGCAGGAGCAAGATTCCGCTTAATCGGTTAACCAGGAAAAATGGGATTTTATAACCCTATTCTGTGCTTACTATATTATTGAACCTAATCTGATTTTTGTCAATCCTAGCATTGTCTAGAGGCTTTATTAAAAAGAGCCTACTGCTTTCATTTTACACTTACAAATAGCTTCTATTTTGCATGTAAAAAATATTCTCTGTATTGCTGAGTTCTTCCTTTCTGTTCTAGCAGTTTATCCCAAGTTGGAAATTGTCAAAACTGAACAACATGCTGCGACCACACTGGGATCTGTTGATAATGGTAGTCATAGTTATTTTGCTTGTATTACTGATAAGAAATAGATAGAATTGGGAAAATGTTAATGTGGAAATCTTTTGATAGTTTCCTTAGTACTCTAAATTACAATTTTTAGTATTAATTTTCTAACATCTCCTTGTAATACTTCTGTAATACTGAAAATATGCATTGCCCTAAGGAAAGATAACATTAAAAAAATGAGGTTAATTTATAATGGGTAATTTCCTTACAGAAACGAAAACCTGTCACTTTAGCAAATTCTTTTATTTGCATGTTGATGGAAACATTGTACATAGCAGATAGCCAGATATCCCAATTCTCAGGAATATGTTGTGTCAAAAAATCTTTTATTTCCTAATTTACTTAAATATTGTTTATACTTCTCAAAGATTATCTTAAAAAATAAACTTAGTGAGTCAGGAAAGCACCAGGAAAGCAGCAGGAATTAACAAAAATCTACCAGTAGGAAGCTAGATAGCCAACATTTTAATTATTGCAAATGGATTCCATTTCAACAGACCAAAACATGCCATTAATCCATTGTTCAGTCACTGAACTAGATTCTCTTCAGGTTGCGACCTGATTATTGTTGTGATTGAGTAGACATTACATTCACCAGAGTTTCTACTGGTTGACAGAGTCTGGACCTCCCTTCAGTATTGGTGGCAAAACCTTCCTGGACACCAGTGGGGGAAGATCAGGCCTCTAGCATAACACTGAAGGAAAACAGTTTTCTATTGGAGGAGACTTCTGAATGTATGATTATCTTATATCTGTGCTGCACATGTTACTTGTTTTCTCAAACCACCAATTGCTTTTCTCTTAAGGCTTCAAACACTCTCTCTCCTATTTAATGGTACTAGTAGCACTTGGTTTCTGATTTAACTTCTGTCAATTCATTTTGTAACTTTTCCTCTCTCTTAGGATAGTATTTAATATGTGCAGGAAATAATAAAAGGTCAGATCACTGAGCTCATATTCATCTAATTAGTCACACTGACTTCAATGAAACCATTCCAGTGATTAAGTGCAGTTGAGGGATAGAAGGGATCCACAATCTGGCTCCACGGGTCTTGTATCTTGGAAAAATAAGATACAATGCTTGCTAAATGATTAGATCAATTTAAAAACTGGTAGGTTTTTGAATAGCTGAAAGATTTCCAATATTAGCACATATTGTAACATTGCAAGTACAGCAATATTGAAAATGAATTAAATATAAAAATGGAAAAAAAAATTAATTAGACATGAACTTGCACTGAAACAAACTGTACAGGCTATACAACCAGTAGGATTTTTGATTGCAAGCACAAGTCTCACTTACTTAACTGACCAGGGAAACAAGAACCTCTTTACAAGATGGGGGTGAGAGCACATCTACAAAGAAAAACAAATTGGATGGTAGTCAAACAACAGTGATTAATGGCCTACAGACCTGAACTACTGCATGAGTTACAAGAAAAAAAATACTAAATATGAACAGCCCCCAGAATTTCTAGAATTACTAATGAATTAATTACTTGTGTTTGGCACAACACACCTTAAAGGGCCTGATTTTCAGAAACTAACATAGAATACTGACTTTCTGAAGGAAAAAAGACTCTTGACCTTCCTCTGATAGTTCCAGGAAAGTGCCGAACATTTCAGAACACGTATTTGGGGAAAATTCAGAGCTGGGGAGAGTGGTGTTATCAGTTATTAACTGGTGGACCTCAGATATTGTAGGCAGGCTCCAGGATTCAAAGTGTTGGTACAAAGATATCCAATATACAGGCACAATGCATAGCTGTTCTTGACTATGGACAGTCCAGGCAGAGAGCTACAGTAGCAATGCATTGTGAGACACTCTGGTTTACAGGGTAAGAAATAATAAGTCTTCACTAGTCTGTATTGCATCTCTGAATCAAAGTTTCCCAAAATCTTGACCTTGTATTTCATGCACACCATGAACTCCGTAATTTAAAATGCAATGTCTTGTATGCTGTGATCTTCCCTCATCTCAATAAGCTTAAATGATATATTCATGTACGTTGTACAAGCATGGCTATCAATTATAGTTGTCAGATCTTGCTCTTTTTATGTATTTCCTTCTTTACAGGGTTCTTATTACACGTATATTTATTTTGATTCTGGGCTCCTTTAGTCTTCGACAGAGTCAGAAGTACCATCTCCCAGAATGCATTTTGCTTTATCTCATGCACTTGGAAAACCAGTTTCCATGCTAATGTGACGCCCATCTTTAAAAAGGGCTCTAGCGATGATCCTGGCAATTACAGACCAAGAAGTCTAATGTCAGTACCAGGCAAATTAGTTAACTACAGTATAGAACAGAATTGTCAGATATGTAGATGAACATAATTTGGTGGGAGAAAATCAACATGGTTTCTGTAAAGAGAAATCATGCCTTACTAGAGTTCAACATGCATGTGTACAAGGGGGATCCAGTGGACATAGTGTACTTAGATTTCCAAAAAGCCTTTGACAAGGTCCCTCACCAAAGGCTCTAGGGAAAGTCCTCTGAAGGATTGGTAACTGATAGGAAACAAAGGAATAAATGGAGTCATCGTGGATAGTTTTCTGAAAATATCCACTCAATGTACAGCATCAGTCGAAAAAGCAAATAATGTTAGGAATCATTAAAAAAGGAATATCTTATTGCCTCCATATAAATCCACGCTATGCCCACATCCTGAATACTGAATGTAGATGTGCTAACCTCATCTCAAAAAAAGATATTTTGGCACTGGAAAAAGTTCCGAAAAGGGTAACAAAAATGATTAGGGGTTTGGTACGGGACCCATATATAGAGAGATTAAAAAGACTTGGGACTTTTCATTTTAGAAAAGAGGAGCCGGAGGGAGAAATACGAAAGAGGTATATAAAATCATGACTGGTGTGGAAAAAGTGAATAAGGAAAAGTTATTTACTTGTTCCCAATTCACTCACCAAAATGAAATGAATAGGTATAGCAGGTTTCAAACAAATAAAAGGAAGTATTTATTCACACAATACAGAATCAACCTGTGGTACTCCTTCCCAGAGGATGTAGTGAAGACCAGGACTTGAACAGGGTTAAAAAAAGAGCTAGATAAATTCAAAAAGGATAGGTCCATCAATTCTTATGAGCCAGGATGGGTAGGAATGGGGTCTCTAGCCTCTGTCAGACGCTGTGAATGGGTGGCAGGGGTGTGATCACTGTTTATTCCCTCTGGAGCACCTGGCATTGGCCACCATTGGAAGACAGGATACTGGGGTACATGGACCTTTGGTTTGACCCAGTATGGCAGTTCTTATACATTAAGTATTTGGTCTTACAACAAGAAAAGACAATATCATCCTAACAATTGCTTGGAATTTAAGCTGCAATATAAGAAAGTGTTGCTAAAAAAAATGCAATCAATATGGAGTAAGAAAAGTGCAAATGCACTTCAGCATTTGTTGACAGATAATTTGTGTTTATTACTGTTTATATTGTAAGAATCAGACAGGGCAAAATACAGCTTTTTGTTATTGGGAAGAAAAAGGATATTATTACTTAAAACATCTAATTCATGCTCTTAGGCTAAAGATCTTTATGCTTTTTGACAAGTGTCTACCACCAATGCAGAATTCAATCAGAAACTTCATTTGTCGTCAAATACTACAGGATACACATTAAAAGACTTAGCAACTTGAGGAAAGTGAGAGGAGGGCAGGAAAAGTTAATTAACAACTACCAGCTTTAACATGAGTATCTTCTGGTTGCTTGGAATTCTGGATTCCAAAATAAAGGTGGCTGACAGACAATTTTTTCTTGGCACTTGCTGAAATAAACTGTCATAAATCAGATACATTAAACAGTAGAGACCAGATGCCACATGCTACCCAGAAAAATACCTATTAACTCTAAACCAAGATGTCAATGACATTACTCAGCCAGGAGAGAGAAGTTTCTGTCTTTGAGAGTCATAGAAGATGTTTTCTCCTATTTGGAACCCTGACATTAGGATTCACAAAACTAATTTAGTGTTGAATACTTACTCAACTGTTACTAACAAGCTACTCTGCTTCACTTATAACTCGTATGTTTTCTACATGGGTTCCACCACATAGACTCCATGACAGAATGTTGCATAAGCTCCTTAGACTGAATAGCAGTGTTGTCAGGCTGCCACCTTAGTATTCTTCTTGCCCTTAAAGTAATATTTGGGTATCTTCAATGTTACTTTAGGCAATGCATCTTTCCCTTGTTGCAAGGTATCTTCTCTCACAGGTAAGGTTATTTTTATAGGACGGTTAAACATGAGAATTTCAACAACTGATGGGCAAGTGTTTTTACCCATATTTTGAGGCCCACAAAGAAAAACAAACAGATCTTCAGACTATTTATATATTAAACTGGATATGAGTATTTGCAGATTTTCCTCCTCTTTACTTTAGCTGAAATCCTGTTCACCACCCCAGGCAAATACTCTCTTTAATATTATTACTCCCAGAGTACACAAATATTTTTACAAGACATTATTTCTGTTAGAGCAATCCTTATCACTGAAATGGTGCAAACAGACATATCTGAAAACTACCAAAAAATAAGTTTCACCCCCTCTATTAAAGTACAGGTAACATCTTCCTATAGAAATGTTTATGGATCCTATGTTATGCTCTTACTGATACTGCACTGAATAAACAGGATTGCATTTATGTTAACTGCTTTATTAGCTCTTTAAAGTGAATTAACAGGAAAAACCTGACAACTGTGGAATATCTCCAATACAAACTTCTTTAAAGATCCAGTACAGACAAACTACTTTTTCTCTCCTGAAATAATGGCATTTATTTTGGCCAGATCTGCAAATGACACTGTTGCAGAACCTCTCTGGGCAGGTCTTGCCTGAAAAAACAAAACAAAACAAAGGACTCATCTTTATATTCAAACAAAAACACACAAGCTTTTTTAAAAAAAGTCCCTTGGTTGCTTAGAACAAAAAAGGTGCTCTCTTATAAAATATGGGAAATATCGACATTCAAGCATAAAACAAAGGATGGACTTCATATTACCTGTGACTCTTGGAATTTCCAGCCTATCATGTAATAAATCTGAAATGTAGCAGGTACTGACCCATCATTATTTCCATACATTTCTATTAAAAAGAGAAATGGGTTTAATATACATTAGAGAATTAAGAATGAAATGCTGAACCTGACAACAGTTTTTGTTGAAAATGATACATTTCTGAAAGCTATTTTTACTTTGAGGAAAGGGGGACACTTAAAACTTTGATTGTAATACAGTACAGAAGATGAGATTCCCAACCATACAAAACATGAATCCATTTCAAAACTTTTGTAATTACTATTAAAAAGATACTACACAAGTAAGTGACACTCTTATGTTAAATATACAGAACGATATTGTGTCTTAAACATTAAAAAAAAAGGAAAATGGAAAAAGATACTCAGTATTGAAAGCTAAAAAGATAAACTATTAAATGTGTACTTTTACCTTGATATATTGCTGCAGCTGCTAACATTGTTTCTCTGTGTAGCATGTGTTTCCTATTCCAAGAACAGTTACTCTCCCCCATACCTAAAAATACGTTTCAGCTTTAAAAAAAGAAGATACAGCATATACCATGAGTTTGAAATTTTATATGTAAACCATGTTTATTTTAAGCAGAGGCAGAATTCTCCAAGTCCAATCATAAAAAGGTACAGTATACACAGATCTGATTCAAGGAAACATTTAAGATACATTGTGAAGGTACAAGTGATGCAAAGATTTTAGACTAAAACGTATGGTTTGTAAAGTTAGCCACTCACAGTACTGTTTTCCAGAAGACTTATTTTGCTATATAATGGTTTTGGGGTTTTTTTAAAAAAAAGCCAAGCTAGTCTGATTATTTTTAGAATTTGAGTACTGATGCTGACACCTACCCCTATACTATTATTTATGGATTTTAAAAAATTGATACTAAGTGGAAGTACAAAGTGGCAATACTGATATCTACAACTATTAACAAGGGTCTTCCAGTTTCCTCACACTTTGATTAAGACTCCCTTTTAAGTTCCTGAGCAGCTAACTTGAATATTTTGATTTTTAGGTAGCCTCTCATGAAAGATCATTTGAAATCTGTCCAGAGACTACTCCCTCTTACAGCACTCAACATTTCATCTGAAGAGTTGTACAGCAAGAGACAGAGCAGATTCCAAAGCTAGTGACCAGCAAGGGGAGCCTTAGGGAGACAACTAATTCTTCACTGTAGGGTGGGAAAAGATCAGGATTCTGGCTTCTGCTTCCCAGCACAGATATCCCAGGGAGAGGAGGGAGGAGATAATCCCTAGGTCCTCCAGAGTTCAAGAAAAAGATAATAATTCCTCAGGGGACTCTTTAAGAAGGAACTAGCGAACCTGCGGAGGGAAAGGAAAGAGGGAACTCTGCGAGATTGCATGGGGAGGAGGGGAACTGATTGGACGATAATAATTTAGGTACATAATTGATCAACATGTAAATTGAAACATTCCAAGGATAGAGTAAATACTTCCTCCTAATCAAGTACTTGCCTTGCAAATCTTCCATGATTTCAAACATTCCTGGATAGTTGACTTGAATTTCATCAGTATCCTAAAAAATGTGTAAGTGTTTACAAGTAACTATAGCAAAACAAGAAACTGTTATTTACTTTATTTTCTTTACAATTTGCAACAATATACACATATTTTACTACTTGTCTCCAGTTAATGCAATATAAAATCACACATTGGATGCCGGTGCAGCCTCTGACCATGGGGAGCTCAGGCCCCCCATAGACAGGGGCTGCTGCCATGAAGCAGCCTCTTTCCACAGCAGGCCTGGGCTCCTTGCTGCGGACAGAGGCTGCTGTGTGGGATGCTGACACAGCCTCTGTCTATGGGGAGCCTGCCCCCATTCCCTGACAGGGACTACTGCCGCACCATACTGTATTAGAGGCAGCAGCGTGGACTGGCTCCTACCTGTCACTTCACGCTGCTGCCTCTGTATCAGAGAGGGGCTAAAAGCATACTGGCTGCCACCCCCCGCCCTGAGGACTAACAAATAATTGTGTAACTGCTAAGATTTGGTACAGTTACACAATTATTAAACATTTAACATCTGTAATCAACAGTACATTTCTACATTTGTTTCCATGAAGAGAATCTGCCTTTGCTAAAGAATTACACCATCTATCCCATAAACAGAGCAAATAACCTGAGCATGCCACATATTACTTCCCTACTGAAAGGCTAATATGAACAAATCAATATCCTTTTATCCTAGAACCCAAGGAATTTAGTATTATTTTTTGGCACCACTCTTAATATTCTAGATGGTTTAACTCCTCATATTGATAATTACCACAGTCAACGTGTTAAAGCCAGCTCTTCCCAGCAGATGTCCTAAGTCAGTGACAGCAGTGAAGGGAGATATATGTGGAGCGAATCCTCCTTCTCTTTCAAGTTCTGCGAGCTGCAAAGAGCAGCGAAGTTCATACAGCGTTTCTCCTCCAAACATGGCACCAATAAATACTCCATTTGGTTTAAGGACTTGATGAATCTAAAATACAGGAAGTCCACTTGATATTTAAGATCTGCAACTGCTATTATTTGGTACAAAGTTATGACAAAAAAAATGTTCATATGTACAGACAGGATGAAATACTATGATCACTGAAATTGTGTTGAATTGAGTATCTTCTCCTCTCAGTTTCCAGCACTTGAAGTATTAGGGTTCAAGTAATAAGAAGCTTGGATGTTTTATTTCTGTTGGAGATTATATATCCTTAGTTCATTTTATACTGGAATATAACATATCTTGCAAGACTAGATAAAATAAATGAAAATGTTTGCTATACTGTACACCATTCACTCTGCTGTCTGAACTCAGCAGTAATCTGTATCTGTCAGACATCTTAATCAAATGTCTATCGTACACTATACCAAACTTCATTCAACACAATTTGTTTTTAAATGGCTGCAATGGCAGAATGCAACTGAATGAAATTTAATACCAAATGATGATTCAGGACCTGGTCCAATTTAGGGATATGAGCGAGTAATTGAGTACATGGTTAACCAATAAGCCTGGGCTCATTGGTTAACTCTCTCAATTACACGCAGCATCCTCCTCTTGCTGCCTCTGTATCAGAGGCAGTGTGGGAGGAAAGAAGAGCGAGCTGGTGTGCATGGGGATCTGGCTTACCCAATTAAATGCATTTTAACACCCCTAATCCAATTCCCATTGTTTTTGGAAAGTAAGGCAATTGTACTTTTAACTAACCATTTTCAAGTAAACATACCAGATTTTGTATATTTAAACACAGTAACTATATATACACAAGATGGACCTGAAGAATGTGCCTAGACTTCTGAGAAGAGAATCAGATTTTATTAATCTGAGGAGGTCCTGTCAATGTTTTTAGTAATGTAACAGGCTATAAAATCTACCATACTGACCCAAGGTTATTATTTTGCATTTGAGCCTCCAAGCAATTTCGAGGGAAACCAAGTACTACTAAATCATATTAAATCCAAAGCATCCCTATGCATAATCAAGACTATTATATCTGAATGGAAAAATCTTAACAGACACAAGAACATGTGCAACAATTTACTTGTGAACAGAAAACACAGTAGGATGGATTATGTATATTTGCCATATTTCTCCAGAGGTGTATTGAAAGTAGTTTGAATTGTAAGAGTTTAGGATAGATAAGTAGATTTTCTTTAGTTTCCGAAGTGATTTTTGTTCTTGCAAATGCATGACAAGCAGAAGAATTTGTGGTAACAGTCTGTCCTTAGATTGTATAATAGTATAACCCGTAAGCATCATCTCTGATCCAGAGATACCCCAACGTTGAAGGAACACAAACACTCAGATTCTTTGAACCCCCTCTACTGAGTGCCAAGCTTGCCAAGCTTCATAAATATTTTGCTTAGCAGCTTCTTACCTCTCTAAAAGCTCCAGGAAGGTCATTTACCCAGTGCAAACTAAAATACAAAAAGTGTACATTTTATGAAGGTTTAAGTGGCTTAAAAAAATTGAGTCAACTGTCACAGCAAAACATTTCAGAAGTTAAAGTAAAGAACTATCATCTACTATTTCCCCAACCAAGTTTATTTATTTATTTATACAAGTTGTCAAATATCTACACCACAAACTTGACAGTACTCAAGTATGACTAAATGCATATACAGTACTCTCAAAGATTTTTAAACTAGAAAATGATTGACCGTAGAAACAACATTCAAATACCATCCCTGTTAAACCCTTTATTTTCTTGTCTAAAAACATCACTATTTTCTAATTCGATTTTATAAACAATAATTTAACAAAATGATTAATACAAACCTTAAACTGCTAACAACAAGATCAAATGTGTCTTCTTTGAAGGGAAGGAATTCTTCATCAGCTATAACACTGAAAGTGGGGATTTCAGATTCCGTAGTATTTTTCTGAGTCAGGTTAAAATAAATACACAATTTCAAACTGCACTTGAGGCTATATTTCTTTTGCTTCTCAGCATTATATGATTAAAGCATGGCAGGCAAAAGTTAGATGGTTACTCACCAGTGCATTCTCTGCCACATCCATTTGAATAAGTTTTTCAACTATTTCCTGAAATAAGAAATTCTGTCAAATACTTAAGACTTATAAACCAACAAGAGGTAACCTCTCTGAACACTTTAGGTGTCTTACAAATATTGTAAATACAGTAAGTAAAGAGAGACAACCTTTAAAATGAAAAAAAATCTGTCATGCTTTCTTCCCATACCATTTCCTCTAACAATGTTTGCTTCTTCAAATGCCTTCCTAATAAAACTATGCTTCCAAACATGTGCTAAAGCAGAAGTGGGCAAAAGGGCCTCCACAGGCCACATCTGGCCCACCAAGCGAACTGATTCAGCCCGTGGAGACCCTGCCGCTTCCCTGCCCCCAAGCCAATTGAGGCCTTGGGACAGGGGAGCGCACAAAACTTCCTCCCGCCCTGTGAGGAGCACACTGCACTTCAAAGTGCTACATGCTCTTCGTAGGGTGGGAGGAGACATCACTCGCTCCCCCACCCCCAAGCCCTGATTGGCCTGGGGGCGGGAGGAGTGCGCAAAGTTTCCTCTGCCCTCCCTCCACCCCGCAAGGAGCACACTGCACTTCAAATTGCCATATGCTCGCGCAGGGCAGGGGTAGGGCGAAAAAAACTTCGCGCAGCTCCCCTGCCCCCAGGCTCTGATTGGCGTGGGGGCAGAGGGAGCGTGCAAAATCTCCTCGCAGGGTGGGGGTAGGGCTGCAGGTGGCTTCAGGCGCTCCCCTCACCCCCAGGCTAATCAGGGCCTGGTGAGGGGAAGGAGGTGAGCTGCGCAAAACTTCTTTCATCCTGCCCCAGCACTTCAAAGTGCCACATGCTCCTCGCAAGGTAGAGGAGGCTTCGAGTGCTCCCCCGCTCCCAAGCCCTAATTGGCCTGTGGGTGGGGAGAGCACCTGAAGCTTCCTCCCACCTTACCCCCGCCCTGCAAGGAGCACGCAGCAGGGCACAGGTGAGGGGAAGGAGGTGAGCTGCGCAAAACTTCTTTCATCCTGCCCCAGCACTTCAAAGTGCCACATGCTCCTCGCAAGGTAGAGGAGGCTTCGAGTGCTCCCCCGCTCCCAAGCCCTAATTGGCCTGTGGGTGGGGAGAGCACCTGAAGCTTCCTCCCACCTTACCCCCGCCCTGCAAGGAGCACGCAGCAGGGCACAGTGGGTCAGAAGCACCCTGGCTCTGCCCCTTCCGGTTTAGGCCCTGCCCCTTCCAGGCAGCCTGGGGCACTTCAAAAATTTTTGACGTGGCCCCCGGCCAAAAATTATTGCCCACCCCCATGCTAAGGTTAACAGATTTTTGGTATTTCAGACTGGGGGAGGAGCATAAAACAAATTTAAAAAGTGCACGCAGAGGAGGCCTTGCCAGGGCCCCACCTCTTATTTTGAGATAGGTCCAGCTTGAACACATGTGAAGATCTCATACCTGGCAGTATGTCATGGAGAAAGTGTTTCTTATTCGAGTGGTTGCTCATGTCCATTCGAAGTAGGTGTGCGCACCGCGTCTTCCGGAGCATTTTCCCTAGCGGTACCCGTAGCGCCGGCAGGGCGGGGCATAAGTACCCTTGCCGGCGCTGCCCCACCTCAGTTCCTTCTTACCGCCGTGACGGTCGTTGGAGCGTCTCTATCTCTCTTAGTCTCTTAGATAGTTAATGGTTCCCGTTCCCGTTATTTTGTTGTCCCCAAACCGAAGGGAGGAGTCCGTCCCATCTTGGGCCTCCGAAATTTAAACAAGGCGGTCATAAAACACAGGTTCAGAATGGTGACCTTGGCTTCGGTCATCCCTGTGCTACAGTTAGGAGACTGGTACGCGACTCTCGACCTCAAGGACGCCTACTTCCACGTGGCGATCAGGCCCAGCCACAGGAGGTTCCTCAGGTTTATGGTGGGCCAATACCATTTTCAGTTTACAGTGCTCCCCTTTGGTTTATGTACGGCAGTGGTTGTCGTATTACTCCGCAAATAGGGGGTGCACGTGTTCCCGTACCTCAACAATTGGCTGATCCGAGGTCGCTCGTATGAGCAGGTAGAAGCTCACGTGGAACTCAAGAGCTCTCTTCCTAAGGTTAGGGCTCATGATAAACATCGAAAAGTCATCCCTGGCCCCCTCCCAGCAGATAGAATTCGTGGGAGCCTTCCTCGACGCAAGGGTGGCAAGAGCGTTCCTGCCCAAGAGCAGGTTCCTCTCCATAGTGGAGCTGATCTCAGGGTTAATTCAGTCCCCTATCACGACCCCTCAGGTCTGCTCCAGGCTCCTGGGCCATATGGCGGCGTGCACGTACACGCTGCACCATGCCAGAATGAGAATGAGACCCCTGCAGGCGTGGTTGGCGAAGGCCTTCAGCCAATCCAGGGGTCTTTGGGACTCGATAATCACAGTGCCCCCAGAAATTCTGGACTCCCTCCTATGGTGGACCCAGGAAACCGTGGTACGCAGTGGGGTTCCTTTCAATGCTGCTCCTCCCTCGCTTACACTGGTCACCGATGCATCCGACCTGGGCTGGGGAGCACACCTGGGGCGCCACAGGACTCAAGGCCTCTGGTCCCCTTCCGAACGAACCCTGCACATAAACGTCCGGGAATTGTGGGTGGTGAGGAGTGCCTGCGAAGCCTTCCTACCAAGGCTCTCTCACCACTCGATCCTGGTTTGTATGGACAACATAGCAGCGGTATTTTATCTCAACAAGCAGGGTGGGGCACGCTCGCCTCCCCTCTGCAAAGAGGCCCTGCGACTCTGGCACCTGTGTGTCACGCATGATATCACGCCTCAGGCGGAATACCTCCTGGGGTGCAAAAACCTGCTAGTAGACACGCTGAGCAGATCCTTTGGAGCCCACGAGTGGTCACTCAAGGACTCTGTTCTCCGTTAGGTTTTCCACGGGTGGGGTTACCCCCGCCTAGACCTGTTTGCCTCGGCACACAATGCCAAGTGCAGGAACTACTGTTCCCTGCTGGGGCTGCCCTGACGACAGTGTGGCCAGAGGGCGTTCCCTATGCTTTTCCTCCATTCCCCCTAATTTCCAGGGTGTTGACCAGAGCGAGGACATTTCGGTCCTCGATCATTCTCATAGCCCCCAGGTGGCCCAGGCAGTTCTGGTTCCCCATCCTAGTGGACATGCTTATCCAAGATCCAATAGCACTCCCTCCAGTCCGGGACCTGCTAACTCAACCTTGGGACGAGTGGATCATGGTTCACCCGGATCTCCCGTCTCTCCACCTATCGGCCTGGTTTATCCGTAGTTGAACCAACCTGAAAGGGAATGTTCCCAGGAGGTCCAGATGGTGCTCCTCAGTAGCAGGAAACCCTCTACTAGACGGTCGTATGCTGCCAAGTGGCGGTGCTTCTCGTCTTTGGCGTCCCGGAGAGGAGTACACCTCTCCTTGGCTCCTATTCCAACTATTCTTGACTATCTTTTCCAGCTTCGGTCTAGTGGCCTGTCCTTTTCCTCTATCAAAGTCCATGTGGCATCTCTCTCCACCTTCCATGTTGGTATGGTAGGAGTCTCCCTTTTTTCTAACCCTGGTGGTTAAAAGGTTTTTTACTGGCTTGGAAAAGTTGTATCCCTCGGTGAGGGCCCCGCTTCCCGCCTGGGACCTCAATGTGGTCCTCCACAGGCTTATGTTACCCCCCTTTGAACTGCTGGCCACGCGTTCCCTGCAGCACCTTTCGTTGAAGATTGCTTTCATCGTGGCCATTATATCAGCTCGAAGGGTGTCAGAACTAAGGGCGCTAACTGTAGACCCGCCCTACCTTGTTTTTTCACATAGCAACGTAAGGCTACGGCCTCATCCAGCCTTCCTCCCGAAGATGGTGTCACCGGTCCACCAGTCAACCTGTCCCAGATCTCCCGTTTTTTTTCCCAAAACCTCACACCTCCCCTAAGGAGTGGGTGCTTCACTCCCTGGACGCTAAGTGGGCGCTGGTGTTCTACATTGACAGAACCAAGCCATTCCGTAAATCCCAACAATTGTTTGTTGCGTTTGGGGACAGGGTGAAAGGGTCGCCTATTTCGACACAAAGGCTATCAAGATGGGTGGTGCAATGCATCACAGAATGTTATCAACTGGCTGGTAAAACCCACCCAGGGTGAAGGCACACTACCAGGGCGCAGGCATCCTCGGTGGCTTTTGGTGCCCAGGTACCAATCACGGAAATTTGCAGGGCAGTCACATGGTCTTCCCTTCACACGTTTACAGCGCACTATGTGCTACCACAGCAGGCCAGGGAGGATGCAGGAGTGGACTCTGCAGTCCTCCAATCTGTAATGTAAATATGTCCTGTTGGCATTGTTCTTAATATGTGCCTTATCAGTGTTGGATTGTTCAAATAAATCCGTTTATTGTTCACCTCTCTTCATGACTCTGATGGTATGACTGCTCCGACCCCTCCTTCATGGGGTTAGCTTGGTAGTCACCTACTTCGAATGGACATGAGCAACCACTCGAAGAAGAAAAGAACGGTTACTTACCTGTAACTGTTGTTCTTCGAGATGTGTTGCTCATGTCCATTCGACTCCCACCCTACCTCCCCTTCGTCGGAGTGTCCGGCAAGAATGAACTGAGGTGGGACAGCGCCGGCAGGGGTACTTATGCCCTGCCATGGCAGCGCCACTCCAGGGGGCGCCCTGCCGGCGCTACAGGTACCGCTAGGGAAAACGCTCCAGAAGACGCGTGCACGCGGTGCGCACACCTCCTTCCAATGGACATGAGCAACACATCTCGAAGAACAACAGTTACAGGTAAGTAACCGTTCTTTTCTATTAATCCATTAAATCTTGCTACCTGAAAAATCTTCAACTTTACCCAAAAACCCATGGAAATTGATTGATTAATACATAGTCAGGGCAAGAAACGTCACTTATCAGAGGGGCTGAGGATTCTGCACTATCTTAGTTTCTGAAGAGCCTCTGGTGTATCTCAATAAGTGCATTACATTAATGTAGTTTTCACATAACCAGATGAACTAGAACAATGAAACTTATGAAAATCTTAATAGAGTACTTGGGAATAATAGTTTTAAAGTCTTTGTAGACTTTCAGTTTACACCATAAGCACTTTTACACTGTATACTATTTTAGATTTATTTGTATTTAATCACTTTGTCTACTCTATTCAAAGGTTAATTTAATCTGCTACCTCAAAATCAGATGAATTAACTTTAAGCCTTCTGTTTATGCCAAGACATAATGGACGTGTGTGTATATTCTGTATATGCTTGTTAACTGGACTTATCTATTGAAAAGCACAATGTTGCCTCTGAATGTTTGAGAGAGACAAGGTAGATTACCTATTATCTTTTATTGAACCAATTTCTGTTAGTGGAAGGTACAAGATTTTAAGCTCCTCTTCAGGTCTGGGCTGTGTGTGGCTCAAAAGCATGCACCTTCCACCAACAGAAGTTGGTTCAATAAAAGATAATAGGTAACCTACCTTGTGTCTCATATATCCTAGGACCAACTTGGCAACAGCACTGCAAACAACTGTAAGACAGTATTTTGATTTGACAAAAAAAAAAAAAAAAAAAACCACACACCCACACCGAGAAAACACGATCAACAAAGTGCAAATTCTGTGGGGTTGTAATCACTGATGACATTACAACAACTTCCAATTTTTTGTGCCATATAAAAACCCATCTGGGAAAGCACAGAGAGTACGAAAACTATCTGCAACAAACCAGGATCAATTCCGCCTCACAGCGTAAAATATCGGATTTCATTATATAGCATGATGATCAAGGGGTTTATGGAATAAATCATCCCAGATAAAGAAGACTAGTCAGTTCTTTGGTTAGGGAACTGATAATTGGTTGCACACTACCACTTTCAATAGCAGAAAAACCGCAGTTCAGGTGATTTTGTCATGTGATGGATCCCCAGTCACGAGAAATAAGTCGGTCTTCGGTTATGACAGAACTGGACAATTTGTACTATAATGTGAAAGCTGATGTGTTGGCACTTCTTACTGAGGTGGACACAATTGCACTGATGCTCGACATCTGGTCAGATAGAAGAACGAGAGGCTTTTGGGGAGTAACAGCCCACATGATAATAAGGTACGCACTTGAGACAAAATTGTTGTTGTGTGAAAGGTTCCTTGGCCAGCATACTGGTGAGAACATTGCAGAAGTGTTTGAGAACATGTGTGATTCTTTTAAAATCAAGGATAAAATTATATATGTTATAACAGACAATACTACAAACATGCGTAAAGCATTCACCATAGCATTTAACAACCATGAATCAGAGCAATAAATTGATATGCAAGATGACACTTTGGAAAATGAAGAATTATGGGAAGACAAACCCAAAAGTCGTTAGATCAGTCATCCATCCTGTAAACTGAAACGGACCTCCAATTAAGAGACTAAGTTGCTTTACTCATACTCTGCAACTCACTGTCGGGGATGGTCTCAATGAGGCGAAGTTATCTGGTGCCCAGGCAAAAGTGTCAAAAATCTGCAGCCTTCTTCACACAAGTACCCTATTCAAGGAAGCCTTTGAAAGAAGGTTTGGTCTTCAAGCTAGTCTTCCCCAAGCCAATGCCACCAGGTGGAACAGTACTCTCAGACAAATACAGTAAATGCTTTTTTGTCCCTGGATGAAGAAAAACTGAAGCACATGCTTGAAGAACAAAAACAGTATAATTTAAAACCCAGCCAGAGGGATTATTCCCAACTAAGAGAACTAGTGTTGCTAGAAATAGCCAGCTATTTCTAGATGCCACAGATAAAGTACAAGGTGAACAGCATGCTACGATTTCAGGAGTGAGGCCATCAATAATTGGACTATACCACCACCTTTTGGAATTTATTCCAACATACTTGGGAAACATGGTTACAGCTTTAAGAAGCAATATGAAAAACGTTTCATTGGCATTTGCATTAATGCTGGTTTGATACCATTATCAAATCCTTTGGATGACACAGAAAAATCACTATTGGCTTTCAGTCATTTCATGTACTTTCTGGCGGCCGTGTTAGACCCTAATTTTTGCTTCTGGTGGCTGGAAAAAATTAGTTCTGATGATGCTAAAACTAATGCTGTGAAAGCAGAAATTGTTTCACAACTTCAGCAGTTTTGTTCAAATCCTCACAGTCTGTCTGCCTCTAGCTGTACTGGCTCTGACAATGTCTCAAACTCTGATGCTGATGGCCCACTAGTTAAAAAAATCAAAACATGCATCCTCACTGTACGTTTATCGAAGGCCAGCTAACACCACAGCCAGGAAATTTTGATGATGAGCTGCGGCATTATCAAGAGCTTGCTGCTAAGATACCCACCAACAGATCATGGAATTGATGTGATGTCTCTGGAAAAGTCATGGAGAAAGCCTTCCATTGTTGCACAAGGCTGCTATGAGTGTGCTTATGGTTCCTGCCAGTACTGCACCGATTGAAAGGGTGTTTAGCCAAGGAGGGATTGTAATGCGTCCACATTATGCCAGACTGGGTGATAATATGGTGGAAGAGATAATATTTCTCAAATGTCATACTGAATACTAACTTTGTTCATGAATGAAGACTTTTTTTTTCTAATTTCATTTTGTGCATCTAGTTTTACATAGATGTAGCTCAAGGCTGCTATGAATATGTTTGTATAAATACATAAAGTGTGCAGTTTACCACCTTTTAGCTGAGTAGTCAAAAACTAAACAAGACTACTAGTATTTAGCAAGTATGATTTGGATTTATGTTAATAAATGAAAACAGATAGTGATTACTGTTATTTATCAATATTGATGGCTTGTACAAAAGTGACTTGACATTTTTTAAATTAAGCCTTGAGACTCAACTTGGGACTTGACTCAAAAGTGACTTTAGGGACTTGAGACTTGAACTGTAGTGACTTGAGACTCGACTTGGGCTTGACAATGACGACTTGAAGACAACACTGGGTGTTACCATCTACTAAGTATTCAATGATCTCTGAAAGGAATCACTGGTCTCAGTTCCATTCCTATTAGAAAGACAGTTCCCATCACAAAGCCACTATTATAATTGCTATCTTTGTTGGGAGCTTTAAATGAGGTGACAAAGATTAAACTATCACTGCTACTGTCTTCTCTATATTTTTCATGGCAATACTTTCTGGAGGGGTGGGGATGATATCTTTTAACTATGACTTCAGAATTAAGAAGCAAAAAGTTACCTCTGAGATTTGGAAGAATTACGTTTCATCTGGGAACAGCACATCATTACCAGAATGATCCTGTATTATGTTTAGACACTAGTACAAACATACAGTACCTTGTTGAGATACTGAGCTACGTAGCCACTTCCAGAACCAACATCCAAAGCAAGAGGGAACGTTCTTAAAAAAAAAAAATTAATTATTTAGCATGCAAGTGCAATTATATTTCGTGAATTTATGAAGTTCAATATATCTTTTCTGACTAAATAGGATTCCAATTAATGTCAGTATAAACACCTCAAAATAATTTTCCTTTGGTGTATATTGCCCGTATTTCCTTTAATGGCACTTGATGTATGCAATTTAAGGGTCCCCCCCCGCCCCATTCATGACTTCAGATGTATGTTTTCTTTCCACGATACTTCTAGAAAATAAAAATAAGCAACTTCATTATATGTTCTTAGAACATAAAAGATATAAGGGTTTAATTTTCAAGCTTCTATAGAATAAAACGCTGGCCTCCAAAATAAGTGAACATTTGAGGACAATAAGGACATTTCACACAATTTTAAAAATTCTCATTCTCACTCTACTTCCTCTACCTTTGGTGAATGTGTAAGTCAAACTCGTGCAGAATTAAAATTTGTGAACCATCCATATAGTACTGACTTCCTGAATTGGAAGACATATTGTTATATTGCCTCTGCTGTTGCTCACAGTTTTGTGATATAGCAGTAAAGAACTATTCACAGAATGTTCAATTTCTACAATAGAACCTCCAAGTCATGAATAGGAATGTACAATCCCATTATTTGGTTAACTGGTTAAACATATTGTTTAACTAGTTAACCAATTAAATTGAGGTGAGTGAGGTCATGTCACAGTTGGAGCATCCCTGGCCTGCTGAGCATCCAAGTCTGCCACTGGCAGGGGCTGCTCCAGCCCTGTTCGCGGCATGAACCCTGTGGGGCTGAAGCAGCCCCCTGCTCACAGTAGGCAGGAAGCTGCTACAGCCCCCGTTGGTTAACCTAAACGGGTGAGGCTTACCCGTTAAACCTTCACATCCCTAGTCATGAACACCTGGGTGGTTATTTGCAATTCTCAACTGTTCGTAACTCCCAACAAAACATTAAGTTTTTTCTTTCAAAAGTTTACAACTGAACATTTACTTAATACAGCTTTGGAACCTTAGTTGTCAGAAGATAAATGCTGATTTTAAGCATCCTAAATGAAACAAGCATGGAAATAGTTTTTTTTACCTTGTAACATCTTTTAAACGTTTCCCTTTACCATTTTAGTAGTTATGTTTTGCAAAGTACTGCACTGCCCTACTCCCCCAAACTCTGTTCTCTCTCTCCTGCTAGGAGAACAGGAATGAGAGGGGAAAGGCAGGGGAGGAGGAATTCACATTCAGACATCTAATAGCTACAGACTGAAACAGATCCCTTCTTATATAGTATTCAAGACAGTGCTCTAATAGTCGTCACACCGATCTTTCCACTCCTATTTTGTGCCCTCTTCACTGCACACACCCCCATATAGCAAGCAGAGACTAGGCCTATTCTAGGATTTTACTCCTGGATCTTGCTTAGCTCTCTAAGAACTTGTGGCCAGTAAGTTTGCCAACTCTGATATTATAGGAATACTTAAAACTCCTGAGTACAGATATTTTACTGAAAGGACATAAATCTAAGTTCTGTTTGAAAGTGTTTTAACACAAACAAGACCTACAATTCCTGTAACTGAAAGATCCGAAGAAAATATTACTTTTTTGTATATTTCACAGTATTCTATCTATAATCAGCTTTGCTATTTTTCCTGAATAGTCAACTCATTTACTTTCTCCAAATATGAGTCTTATACAACAGAGGAGTAGGAGAAAAAAAAAGAAAATATAAGAAAATGTGGTGACTGAACTACAAAAATTGATATAGTATGAGAATCTACTTTAATTAATGCTTTTAATGGGGTATCTTGCTCTCAAGATTAACAACTTACCTGGCAATGTCAAACACCCGGTCTGCTACTCTGCCACCAACCTAGAGAATTGCAAGAGGTAAAAATGTGGGGATTATAAATATGCATTAACATTCTGCTTCCCATCCCTGTTTTCCCTGACTATGTCTATACTATGGGGTTTTTCCAGGGTACCTCCGCCACATCCAAGGAATACGTTTACGGAAGAGCAAATGTATTCTTTCAGGGAACCCTGTATATCTCGTCCTACGATGGATAAGGGCTCCGCTGAAAGAGGAGGCTTTTCTGCCATTTGGCCCCATCTAGACTGGGCCAAATGGTGGAAAAGCCTTTTCCAGAAAAGCGAATGGAAAGAGCTGTGCAATTTGCATAGCTTTTCCCAACAAAGGACTATAGCGTAGACCTAGCCACTAAGAGTAGAAGGCTCTTTTGCTGGCAGTGCAGGGTCGGGACTAGAGGTAGGACTTATAAGAAGTAGAGATGTAAAAGGTTAACCAGTTATCTGGTAAGCATTCCCCTACCGGCATGCTTACTAGGGAAATCAGTATACAGCACCCAGCCCAATTGGAGCAGGGCCCCTCACCTCTGTCCATGGCACACTATGGGTGGGGGAGCTGCTCCAACCTGGCCACTGCACAAAACAGCAGGCCGGTTAACATTTTACACAGGATTTTACATCCTTAGTTAGAAGGTCAAATCAAAGAAGCCTGTGCCTGGGTCTACACTGGAAAGCTGTCCTAGCATAAAACACACTTCTTTTCAGCACAGCCTTGCATGCATCCATACTTACTTTTGTTACCTATGAACAGGGCTCGAGGAACTGTGGCGAGATCTACTCGCCAGCCCCACACCGCACATGGGCCAGCCCGGCACTGCGCATGCGCACAACACCGGTGAACGGGGCAACCAGCTGAAATCTACTCGCCACAGGTGAGTAGATATGATTTGTCAAGCCCTGCCTATAAGCAAAACCTCTCTGCTTCATATGGCATATTTTTTCTCAGTTTCAGGAGCAAAGCCCCCTGCTTGTAGAGTTTTGTGCAAGCACAGCAGCAGAGTGGATATACACATACCTATACCAACATAAGCAGTACACCTGCAATCACACAATACTATATTCTCTTCAGGAGCAACCTGTTGGTAGTACTTTCACACTATGCTGCTCAGGAGTCAAAGCTATCAGAAATCCACCATGAATTACCTGTTCCCACAGGAACAAGAATATTACCATCAACTTGGCAAAAGATAGCAAAATTGATTCTCCTGGCAGAATCTCAGTGCCTTGCAAAAGTGGAAGGAGCTGAGGAAGGAATATACAAGATGAAGAAAAATGAGTTTTTGGGTCACTTGTCTGACCTGTGCCTTTTATGAATTGGATGTGTTACTTATCAGGTACCCTACCAGCTTCACTGTAACCACTGTGGACACTTCACATCCTGAAGAGAAGGAAGTGCATATTCTAAAGAAGAAAAACATCTCTCCCCTTTCCTCCTGCCAGCACATAAGGAAAAGGTTTCTGGCAATGGACAGAAAGGGGATAACCAGGTCAAGTATACCCAGAAGTCAGACCCTGAACACCTTACACGTTAGCACCCATCACCAGGGCTTGACAAATAATACAATCTACTTGCCCATGGCAAGTAGATTGTAACCCAGAAGAGCTGGGTTCAGGTGATCTGCGCGTGCGCAGATCGCCGGACAGAGCAGCTGGCGAGTGGGGCTCACCGCGGTTCGGCGAGCCCTGCCCATCATCCATGAAGAGAGATGCATGTGATCAGTAATGTTCAGGAAGCAGCAACATGCCATTCCTTTGCCTGCAGGCACAATTTCACTGCTCCCATTGGCAAGAAACTGAAAACCACAATCACTGGGAGCTGCAGCAGGCCAGGGAGGTGGGGTGCCTGTGGAAAATGAACATCAGCAAAAATTCTCATGGCTCCCAATCAAATGCCCATCACTGATATAAACCACATTGTAGGTTGATGCTTCTTAATTGGTGGTGTAGACTATCAGGTTGCTTGGCTATCATGCTAATAATATGATTGTGTTGATTTAGATTAATTCATTAATATATTAATGGGTAGATTTAGTATAGAGGTAATAGTTAAGAGCTGTAACACAAGAAATCTGCTAAAGGCCATTTGCATGATCAGCAGAAGCTAAGGTTAGCAGATTTCTGCGGCTGAGATACTGATCTATCCCAGACACAGGTCATAGCTTCTTTAGAGCTTCTATGGACTGAAAAGGGGAACTTACGTCTAGGACCTTTCACTCACATAGGATGGTAGGGAAAATACCCTCAGACTCAGCAGATACATTATTATATAAAAGTCCCAAAATAACTGGCTCAGGCTATAATCAGGACACAGGATATGATAAATGACCTAACACCTAATAAATGGGCTAACACCTAAGATTGTTCTAGAAGGAATAATCTAAGTATATGGTATGGAAATATGGATGTACATTTGCTATCTAAATTGGGGTGTTTGTGACTGTGCTAACTGTATTAATAAACTATATTTAGAAATTCTTGTATATTTACATAGTGTGAGTGTTGCAACTGTGCACATCAGGGTTCCCAACCGCAGAATAACTGAATAGTGGGCCTGATCCTGGGACAGAGAACCTGTCAACCCTAAAGATGGTAATTACAAATTAAAACATAATAATCTTACATCAGGCAACAGTGACAAATTACTGTTGCACATTCAGAAAAACCTGAAAGAGCTGAAGTGGCATTTCCCTATACTTCTTTTCCTCCTACACAGCCACAAGCAGCATTTTCATTACTCCTCCCCCCATTTATCTATTATGACAGTTACATGCTTAAGTCAGTGGTCTCACATTATCATAGAATACTAGAACTGGAAGGAACCTCAAGAGATCATCAAGTGCAGTCCCCCACCCTCATGGCAGGACTAAGCAGGTCTATATCATCTCCGATAGATGTCTGTCTAACCTGCTCTTAAATATCTACAGTGATGGAGATTCCACAACTACGCACTAGGCAATTTATTCTAGTGTTTCATCACCCTGACAGTTAGGAAGTTTTTCCTAACGTCTAACTTAAACCTCCCTTGCTGCAGTTTAAGCCCATTGGTTCTTGTCCTATCATTAGAAGCCAAGGAGAACAATTCCCCCCCATCTCCCTGTCACACCCTTTTGGATACCGGAAAACTGCTATCATGTCCCTTTAAATAACGACTAGTCTAGCAGCACCTTAAACACTAACAAAACATGTAGATGGTATCATGAGCTTTCATACGTACAACCCGCTTCTTCAGATGAATGGAGTATTAAAAGTCCAGTTCCAAAATAAATAG